GCATCGCTCGCTGGCTTGGGTGCTGAACTTGCTGCTGGTGGAATCATGGAGTCAAAAGCCTGTCTCTTATACACATCTAGATGTGTATAAGAGACAGATATATATGTGTGTGTGTGTGACAGTGTGTGTATATATAATATAATAATATATATATATATTATTTTTAATTCAATAAAGAATATCGATGTGAACCTGAGACAAAAGTTGTTCAATTTATTTTTCTGCATAACATAGTTTTTTTTTGGATTTTTTGGATTTTATTTTTGTTTTGTTTTGTTTCTGCTGGGACCTTCCCTGGTCCTTGCACGGGCTGGCCACCCGGGACCTGGGCGGCCCGGCTGGTAGCCTAATAATAATAATAATAAATTCAAAAAGATTATACAAAAAAAGAAACAAAAAAAAAAAAAGAATGAACTGGAGTTAATAAACCCGGTGTATTATGGCACTACAGCGAAACTAGACCTACTTTCTCTAAACCACCAGTACATCGCCCCAAGCAATTGGAGAACCTGTTTTGGGCTGGTCTAAAAATTTAGGAGGCCAGGGCCCCACCTAATTTTGTAAGGGACGCAGGGCCCGGTTCCCAGCTTTTATAAAGATTTGCAATTTGAAAAAAAATAAAAAACAATTAGGAGGCCGAGTGCTGTAGATAAAATGAGTCGGCAGCAGGCGGCCTCCAAAAGGGGCCTACGGCCGATAGCTGGCATGTACTGGTGCTTTAAAAGAAACAGAGGAGAAATAAATAAAAATGGAAGGATACAGAGAAGATTAGCTTATGCTAAATCACGACTACCTTTCGCAGGCAAACTCCAAACACCGATTTAGCTTACACCGCATTCTTCTTCTTCTTCCTCTTGTTCTTTTTTCTTTTTCTTTTTTTAATGTGAAGGTCCAGGATTGCCCACTTAGGTTCGTAATATTTGTATATCCACCGCATTCTTCGGGTGTGTCATTATCGAATGCCCAAAGACAATCAGATGAGAATGGCGTAGAACCGAAGAGACGATAAAGGAGTGACCAAAATACAATGCAGTGGAAGACGGATACACACAGATCTGACTCAAACGACTCAGACAGACTGCAACTCACTCACCATCGATGCAGGGGATGGGCGATGGCACCGCACACATAGAAGAAGAGTGTCGTGGCCAGGATCATACCGACACTGAGGAGGGAGAAGAGATAAAGGGGGAGGGATATGGAGATGTTGTCAACTCAATTATGTAGCCCACAATAGTCTCCAAAAATAGTCCCCCAATGTCTTTGTCCAGATATCAGTCTGAGTCCAATGTCACCAAGTCTTCTCTCAGAATCTCTCTCTCTCTCTCTCTCTCTCTCTCTCTCTCTCTCTCTCTCTCTCTCTCTCTCTCTCT